ATTAAATTTTTGAGTATTATAACTAATATCAAATAGACCTTGAATATTAGAATATAAATATTGTATAATTAATATATTATCAATATTATTTAAATTAAAAAATGTGCAATTATTATATAAATTATTATTTATAATTGCTGGAGCTGGTAACGTATTAATTATTGGTTTTGCTACACATGTTGCCATATTATTTACTGAACAAAGTGTTGTTGTATTTGGTCTTCGAATTCTATGAATATCATAAAATCATCAATATTAAAACAATAAAAAATATTTGACTAAATAATAATTATAATATTTTAATTAATAAATTTAAAATATAAATTAAATAAAAATTATAAAATTTAAAATAACTTACATTTAAATTAAAATATTCATTAAGCTTTGTTGGATGAGCCTTTGCAATATCTTTTTTATATCTTTGAATTGTTTTTGTATGGACACTAAGACCAGCATTAGATAAATATTAATTCCAGATTTAGATATTCCTGATAATTGTAAATAAAGTCCAAGATCTAATTTAAAATTATTAGCAAATTTGTTTCTTATTCCAACTAAAAGATAACAATATACAACTACTTGTTTTTTTGCTTTTTCTCTATTTTTGTCAAGTCTTTGTTTAGGAACTAATGTATTAATCATTTCATCAAAAAATCCTTTTAATTTTGGTTCATTTGATTCAATCATATGTTAAAATTGTTCAGGATCTAATAAATATTCATTATTTTCTCTTTGATATTTTAATAATACAGTTGTTAATAATTTAATTTGTTGAGAAAATGAATAATTTTGATCTTTAAAAAAATTAATATTTAAAAAATCAATATTAATATTAATATTAAAATATAGTAATTAATATATTATAATTATCTAAATTATTTGAATCTATTATTATTAAATTATTTTGATTATTTTGATTATTTAGAGCTTCTATTTTTAAATCTTTTTGAATAATTAATTTAATTAATTGATCAAAATTTTCTTTATCCATTGAAATTATATTATCAGTTATATTAACTTTAATATTTGTAATTTGTTGATTAATTTCATTTAAATTATTTTCAATTAATTCATTTTTTTGAATTTTAATTAATTCTATTAAATTTACTAAATTACTAGTTTCTAATAAATCTATAGAACTATTAAATTCACTAGTTTTAATTAAATTATTAATATCTATTAAATTTGTAGAAGTATTAGATCTACTAGTTTCCATTAAATTTGTATTAGATCTACTAGCCTCAATTAAATTATTTCTATTTATTATAGATATTTGACGTTGATAAGAATTTATAATTTTCATTTTTTTTTTTTTTTTTTAACGTCTAC